GGAAGCATTTAAATAAACACTCTTTAGATCACACACTTGTGGATTACGTAAATTATTTAAGTGTTAATGACAACCTAAATATAAAATCAGTTAGAGAGATAATGGCACACGTTATTGGAAGAGATAACGAAGTAGACTAATCGTAGTTAATGGTTACCTAGCACTCATTGACGCACTAACAATTACTTGGTCATATTTTATCGTCGCGCCTTTTTTCATTCTTACAGTTGAGAAACGAGAATACTAGACCAGAAAGAAATTAATCCCTTATGTTTGAGGAATTATTTACATATTGAATTTTGTACAAAAGCCTGTAAACTTAAACCACAATATTCCAGTACAGTACCTACAAAGTTTTACTTGTATACATGTCCACATCGATTTCGACTAGATTTTAGCTTGAAGCCCACCAGATCAGTAAAGAAATGATGACCTATAACGGGCAATTTGTCAAAACTTCCATATAAAACAAGACAAATACAAGATGCAAGTTTCATAATAAATTTCTAACCCGTAATACGATCGCAGCGCCACCTGCCCCGTTGGCTACGCTTCGGGCGCAACAGAAACATCGTAAGTCATGACTGACGCTAGATTATACCTGTTTATACCTCAGGGAACGCAGCGTGATGATTGATGGGCCGGTATAATTCATAGACTATGTATTGGCTATTGTTTTAATGCTAGAAAGGTTGTTTGGATAATTCTGTTTCATGGACACGACTGAAACACACAAAGACAAATAGTATTGTGTATTAGACCAACCTCGTATTACTTAGGAATGTGGACTTCCAGACCTTGTCAGCATGAGAATTTGAATTTCAACACTGATATACGCAAAAGACACTGATTAACCCAGGAATTCACTACAACTATGCAAATGAGGAGGATGTGAGCAGATCAATTGTAAATAGATATTCAATTTACGAAATAAAAAAGAACGAACCAAATTTTATAACCTCTAAAACGACACCTAAAGCGCGATACGATCTAGTATAAAACCCTGTTATAAAAACTGTATCAACTTCCACCTCAGAGGGCTTCAAACCAAACGAAAATAAAAGAACGGAGCCACCAAGACGTAACTTGATATTGGGCACGCATTTATCTGACGCGTTTCATGAGCCAACGACTCGGATACTGTGACACTATCCCATGAAACAAAAGCACAACTAAAAACAAAGCTAAACAAGAAAGCACTAAGGTCCAAAATTAGAAAATCAAACCAAACACAGCAGTACATGCTATAAGTAAAACAAAACATAAGCAACAACACTACGCTAAAGTGTATCCGTACAAAGTTATCGGTACAGTCAAGTAAGGAATTTGTGATCGAAATTCAACTTTATTGGGTTACGATAAGGGATCACGTGACGTGGATTCAGGTGCAAACGTAGATCGTTTGGTTTCGTAAGAGGCCTATGCAGCGGGAGGTCTGACAAATCCATAGATGGTCGAAATATTAATAGTTAGTATAAAGATGATTAATTCAGAGGAATTGGGTAATAATATTCATTTTTATAATCGTATTATTTTTACGATGTAAACAATATATCTGAGGGGCCTAAAAAGAGATGCTTTTGGAGTAGACATATTTTTGGGTTTGTTTTTCCAATGATTTTTACTTTGTTTAATTGATCACCATTGGGAGTCCCTGTTGGTGGTCGGCCGAAGAACTTAAACCAAAGATATAGAAATTTAACGAGCATACAAGATTTTATACGTTTATATCGAAGATTGTAAGAAGATATGAATAAAAACTAATGATAATAATTATGTAATAAATGTTCTTGTATCATATTGTAATATTGATGATGCACTTTGAGGATTGTCTTCTATTGTGCATTAAAGGTATGAACAATCGGCGCCATCTTTCATCTACAACACATCAATCAATCTCCATCTACAAGCTATTGAAGAGGAATATTGGATTGTTCCATTTATAAAATCATATTTCGGACATGGTACCATAGAATAATAAACACGAGTAATGAACAATCTCGTATATTTTATTCATGGCTAGCTTTTGTTTCCGATTTCAAATACAACAAGACACCAAATAAACAAAAGAAGTTCTATGATTCAATAGGCTCACCCCCTATTACATGGGACTCATAACATAAATAGTGAAAAGTGGGTGTTACATTGTCCAATGGCATTAAGTGCCGTAATGTCTTCCTTCTGTCATTCCCCTCGTAGATAAAAAGCGTGATGTTATGTTAAAAAAGTTCTATGATTCTAATTCCTTTAGGAATTTTTAGGTACGTAATGTTAAGGCTCCGGTCCTTAGCAAAGAACCCTAAAGACCAATTTTTACCTTCCTATGATTAGTAAGTTTTCATTGTATGTAAATTGTCTACCAGCCACTAAGTCACCCAGTACCGGAACACTTTATAGTATTGATACGGATAGTAAGCATAGTATAATGAATGTTGCACATTCCTACGATTCGATTCACGCGACATTTAACGAAATTGAGAATAAAATGAATTCAGTTAAAGTAATTCTCGTGTGAAAGAACGTAGGAGGTACCGCAAGCCCTTAATCCGAAACTAAAGATGAAATATCGGTTTTCTCCATATGCAAAGACGATATAAGAGCATTTTCGGTAAGTTTCTTAACATCCGTTATTTTGGGCGCCTGCAATATTGCCACAGTATTTTCTATTGTAAAAGGCAAAATGAATAAGATACATTTCTCATTAAGCTAGTTTCTCAAGAAAAAAACATTGATTATATGAAGCCTTGAATTCCGGATAAAGAGAAGCCACACGTTCTGAGCTAAAATCTTGCCGGACATGAATTTGATACATATAAAAACTATGCGAAAGACAAAAACAGAAGCCAAATGAATGTTCAACTGGAATGGACATTTAAACAAAATACACATCGCCCGCAGTTTACAAGTCATAAATCACATTATTTAAATTATTTCCAAGTATTTATTTAATAAAGAAGTACTTGAACGGTCATTAATACATCTAATCATAACTTCAGAAGGCAATTATAGGAAAAAATGAAGTCATTTGCGTTTACAAACACTAAAGTATTATGAACGCGAGTCTTTATACCGTGCGAACGTAGGAACATAAAGTTTTTTCTAGCCAATCATTAGGTAACAATTAATGAAGGAACAGCGCATCGCTCATGGCGACTTAGGACGTTGATCCTATACTATGTTGTGAGAATTTAGCGGACGTATAATTTAGACGCCACTTTAATTTGACAGATAATGTATAAATCGTCAATAACGATAATGAATTCAACGCCATTAACATCAAGGTCGAAAACGATCTAGCGCCTCCAAAAAATGTAGAAAGAGACTTTACATGAATATTTCCCAAGTAAATTAGGTAGTATGTGGAATCACTTAGAAAAATCAAAAGTACAAACATAATAAGGTAAACAGGAAGAATGAAGCGTGTTCCGCTATTCAGTCGTCGCTTGAGACGCGGGGCCGTTGACTTCTTGACGAGTTATTTTGTAATTAACGCCCAATACATCGACACACGGCCTGATGATATTGTATCATACAAAAAACATCTCAATACAGATGTAGATATCATTAGCCCGTTTATAATAACATTTGGCAGTAATTCGTTTCATTAACTTGTCGGTTTTTTAACGAGTTACGCAAAAAATGTAATATGGACATAGTCGCATGCTGAGCGTCATCCAACATGGCGTCTCGTATTGAATTACGGAGATCAGGACGCGGCTTTGTTTTTAAAATAATCGTCCTTCCTAAATTCAGCCTTGTGTGTATGTAATAAGGAGTAATCTTTGGTCAAATTTGCTTTTTCGGTGGTGCAATCATCCGATCCGTTCCAGACTTCATTTTGCCGGGAAGCTGCCTGGCTTAATTGGGCCGCGCCGATTGCTTGACAAGCGAATAATATCTCGCAACACATATTTTCCAATCCGAACATACCGCGCCCCTTTCATCTGGGTAATAAAGTCGATAATGCTATGACAGCTGGTATGGCAGCGGTAATATTTCATTGTCAATTATAGGCCGTGCTTCGAGGTCCAAGGATACATGGGGCTACAAATTGGCGAGATGTAACTGTATGTGTAGAAACTGTTTAAGTATGAAAGCTTGATTGTCAATAAAAATGAAGCTGAGTCATACTTCAGGAGGCCGCGAGACTGTTATTCCTCGCCTTCATTTTTACCAGTAACTAATAGTATTGGCTCCGCATTAGCACAGTAACAACATTTTTATAAAACTGCAATTAATTTTATATAATTGACAGTATTTTCTGAGGAGCTTCATCAAAGTAGCGGTTCTCGCTTTGTTGGTTCGTGCAAAGATCTTAACCGCTTCACCGTCGGATATCTTCATTTATCTATATCAATGATAAGATCGGTTCGTCGATTTGTTAATTTAATTACTCGACTATTTTTCGCGTTCTGAGAAATTGTAAGCCAAATGGTCAAGTTAATAATTATTGTAGACACTTCTAAAGCTATAAATGTCGAAGCTAGGTACACGTGCTATGACCATCACGTTTTTAATGATGCCTTAAACAATGCAACTCGCCGACAAATAGAGTTATTAACGTGAAAGGTTCTTGCGATGTAATAAAAGCTATTATTTCATCTTGTACTCTCTATCATTCATCAAGACCCTATTCTCTTGTCACTCAGGTTAATGTCAATACTGTCGGTAAAATTGACTGTCCTTTAGACTTGAATGGTCAAAGAATCGTTCAGCTATCGACGCTAGAATATACTTTACAATTGTCTTGTTAGCTTTCAATAAACAATAGAATAGCATTTCTAAAGTTCAGCGCAAAGTTAAAGGTATCGTGTTTCGCTTGTTCTAGCTTGATAAACAGAAAGGTTTATTTACAGTGCTAAGTAATGTAACATATAGATTTTAGAGTTGAGTTTCTAATTACAGTAATATTAAAGTCGCTCATACAAATCATTACGGCGATACAGATCAGAAAGTACTAGGACATCATAAGACTAAGGTAGGTGAGGTCAAAGGCTTACCTGAGAGCGCACTCGTCGACATCTATCTCGCAGAGGGTCCCGGTGAAAGTGGGCGGGCACTCGCAAGTGTAGGAGTTGAGCCCGTCGACGCAGGTCGCGCCATTCTGGCACAAGTGGCCAGGACAGTCGTCGATGTCGATCTCGCAGTTCTGCCCGCGATAACCTGAGGAAAGATGAAAGATTTAGATAGCGCCGAATGATAAATCGCTTGGTGCGGCTATTACATTTATTATTTTACATTCTAAACTATACGATGGAGGTTGAAAGGTATTTTATGTTGTCTGTGAAGATGTGAATGTTGAATGGATTGGGCATGTTGTTTTGACTTCTGAATCAGAAGTAGCATTCAATGTAGATACTCTTTATACCGCTACTTATCAAGAAGTTACATATACTCATAATAGAATATAGAATGAATCATACTAAAATTTAACCAAGAATTTTGTGGGAGAGCCATGCTTCGGCACGAATGGGCCGGCTCGACCGGAGAGATACCACGGCCGAGCAGAAAACCGACGTGAAGCAACGCTTGCGTTGTGTTTCGTCGTGTGAGTGAGGTTACCGGAGGCCCAATTAGCCTCCCCATCCCCAATCCCTGAATCCCCAACGATCCTCAAACTTCTAATCCCCAAAAAGCCGGTGACGCACTTGTAACGCCTCTGGTGTTCCAGGTGTCCATGGGCGACGCCGATTGCTTACCATCAGGTGATCCGTCTGCTCGTTTACCGGCTGATGCCATAAAAAAAAAAAGAATGCATTCCTAATACAATAAGATCTATTGAAAATTGTTAAACAATTCATTTGAACAAGTGATACAGTACGATTCGAATCCAAAAATTCTTAGACCATGACTCATGAGCATGAGAGTTCCGAAATCTAAAAGTTCCCAAATTAATTAGTCATCTATACTCTTAAAATTTTGATAGACTACTTATCCTGAGTTACACATGTGTTTTCTATTTTAGACACTGAAGTGTTTAGCGGCTCGGAGATGAAAAACATGTGTTATATATTTTGTAGATTAATAATTAAAAGGGTGTTGTAACATAGATGAAGTCATTGGACCTCGCCTTGTGTTTTGAAAGGGTGAACTGTGTGCTGAAGAAAAGTAAATAAAAAACTTTTAATATCATTTCCTTTTCTAATTTCTCTACTTATTCTATTTAGTATAATGCCTTCATATGAAGTGTCTACCAAAAACATGAACCTACACACTTATTTATATTTAGGCAGTGCACTTCTAAGTTTATTGGACTTTCGAAAATTTTGTTATCAAAATTGTATATATTAAAACTGAGCCAATCAGCTGAGAAATGAAAATTAACTGTATTATTTGGTTTCGAACCACCAAAGACTAAACCAACGAGGCGGACCAAAAAAAATTATATGGCGTTAAAAATCTTTTAACTAACATCGTTCTTATTGAAACTAAATTTAGATTTTCAGGTGAAAAAATAGACAATTTAAGCTTAGTCGAAACCAGTGGACCATATAACAAAGTTTTTAGAGATAACTTTAGTCATGCGACTATTTTTTGTTAAATTATCTTAGAACAACATGCTAAACACTAAGTAAAAGAAAAAAAAGTAAAGATAATTAGCTTTAAAGAAATAGAGGAATAAATAGCTGTTTCATGATGTAAAGTCTCATGAATGAGTCATTACAGAATTTCAATAAAAAACTGTCGCCATTTTGAGATACCTATTCAGAAAAATGGAAACCTAAGTTGTGTCTATTCCATGCATGACATACCTACCTATTATGCAAGATACAATAGTCAATACACATACATTTAATTAATTGTATGTGATTATTTTACCACTTATGTTCATCACATGGGAGTCTCATACAAAATAAGTGATAAAATGTAAGAGGGTCATTCTCATAAGCAACTAACACAGGATATAATTTCAGACCCTATGCTTTTACCAACTAACAATTTGAAAATCTGTAGCTCCAATATTATTTTCCTTTACTGTTTTTGACGGGAGAAAATCATCAAATTGCCCAGTTGAGGCGAGAGGGAGTATCTTACTGACTAAAAACTACCCCATTCGTACTCCTGCACTTCGAGCCGGAGCCCCGGCAACCCGTTAAGGCCTCTATGGCGCCGTATGTATGCTGGATTTTCCTCAACCTAGAAATCGAATTCGACTCTTAATGAGCTGTCCCACTAATGATACCTACCAGCAAGACAGTCGATTATATGAATTAAGCCAATTTCATCTTCAATCATCCTACAGTTAATCTAGAAGTGTTGAAATCACACCAAAGTCCATACGCTTCGATTAGCAAGTAAAGAATAACATTATGTTCATTAACCGACCCGTTCCCACGGCTAACACATGTGCAACTGTTTACCGTAGCTGCGCAGGCGCCGACGCCGCGTTCAAATCTTTCGACGCCATTTTTTGCTTCGAAAACGACGCGCGGAAAGTCGACGGTAAATATTTTGGTAACGATTTTACCGAATTCGAATTTTACAATGTTTGGTTTGTGTTGGAAATAGATTTTACTGTCTTTTACGACGCCATTTGGTTTTTATTTTTTCGTCGATTTCATGTATTGGTTGTACCTATGCTGGTATATTTTGACATAATCTGCATGCACATTTAAAGAATATAGTAGTTGTTAATTTTATTTGTATACTAGCGACCCGCCCCGGCTTCGCACGGGTGCAATATGTATATACATACAAACCTTCCTTAAGAATCACTCTATCTATTAAAAAAAACCGCATCAAAATCCGTTGCGTAGTTTTAAAGATCTAAGCATACATACGGACATACAGCGAAAGCGTCTTTGTTTTATACTATGTATTGATTTCATGGGCCGACGTTTGTCCACTATCTCGTCTGGTAGTAAGCAATGATGCGGTCTACGATGGAGCACGTCATCCCAGTAGCAACCTATTCATTCGGGCCTTGAAGACACCAGAAATTTCAGTATAATAAATTATGTCAGCACGTACAGCAGTCTATTCTTCACATTCAACCGCTACCAGAGGTCCTAGTGCGAGTGTGTTCTATGTTAACGTGATCGACAGGTTTATGACGTTCAGCATTCTGATTGGCCAGCCTCAATGATTCAACCTATCGGAGGGCTAATTTCAATCGCGTTTACTTAAAAAAAATCGCATTGTCCTCAGCTGTCATGGCGATATCCCCACTTCATTAGCAGGAACCGCACTCTATAGTAAATTAAGATTTAAAACGAATAAAAATATTTTATATAACATAACATCACGCCTTTTATCCTTAAAGGAGTAGGCCGAAGTGCACACAGAAGTAACACCCACTTTTCACTATTTATGTTATGAGTCCCATGTAATAGGGGTGAGCCTATTGCCATATACCGGGCACAATTCCAGACTCCGTGCTACTACTGAGATTTTTTTAAAACCCAGGAATACTTTCCCCGACCCGGAAATCGAACCCGAGACCCCATGCCCGGCAGTCGCACTTGCGACCACTCGGCCAACGAGGCAGTCTTTAAAAATATTTTATTCTATTATTTTACTACTCATAAACTGAAAACGATAAACTATGTAATTGTGAAAATTAAGCAACTAAGGCAGAACGCGCCATAGAATCGCTTCAATACAACTCGATTCCCATTTGAGAGAATAAAGCACACCATAAACATAGCCATAAAAAGTTAAACTATTCTAAAACCTCGACTTAATTAAACAATTTAGTCCTAATTAACACTTAATAAGATTGAAAATACCATGGCCTAATCATAAAACGAAGGTCACAAATGAAACTGTCCTCAGATGCGTAAGCGCAGATCTTTATCTTCACGCCGTCAATTTAATGTGTAGAAAACAAAATTCCTAAATTTTATTGTATATAAAACGAGCCTAAACATTTCCTTTACAATTTTAATTTTGAAATGATGCATCAAAATTAAATTTTTCCATTAAAAAAATTAACATACGTAATAAATTACGTCTCCTTCGGAGTTTGGAATTAAATTTATAATTAATTAATAAGTTGTAACCTTGTAGATACAGGGTTGAATAAGATTTTTAATTGTGTTGTAATAAATAAATAATATACGATCAAGTCTGGATAAACAAAAGTGGTAGTACACAACTAGTAGAGCTTTTTTCAAATAATACACGTCAAAAAGCCCTTAATATTAATTAATTTGGTTGCACATAATCATCTTCAATATAAGAAATTCCTTTATTTCACAACAGTTTAATTCAACTTACCAAACAATTAAACAAACATTTCTAAATTCTAAATTCAATTCTTCCGCCATATTTGAATTTGGACGCCATGATTGGTACACATAACTACACAATAAGCTATTCAAAACCAATATTAACAGACCGTCGAATGCACAGAAAGATCACATGAAGCGAGACTATGATAAATTGGTTACGTATAGCCAAATATTGGTCACAAATATTGGTGCTTCTTGTTTTGTGGACTTGGGAATATAATTAACAGTTGGATTAACATAATATGGTACTGTGAGAGATCCTCTCCCAGCATTCCCATAAGTGAGGCGAGCACGGAAGCTGTTATTTCAAACGAACACATGTCATGTCTATTTGGACATGTGTTAATGATTCATATATTATTTAATAGGAAAATTATTACTGACACTTTTTGTTAAGGAAATGAGACGCTTTAATGGATAGTTTTGTGAAGTATGATTGATGTTTCTAGTTATTTTATTTTGGTTAGAAAACCGTTTAGATATTAAAATGTTATTATTATTACTTTGTCATGATAGGAGTTATACAAGTTAGCAAGGATCTTACATTACAGAGATCTGCGTTCATAAATAGGAATATGTAATCAACAGCCTAACAGTATCTATAAGTTAAGAAAAAATAAAAAGCCAGCTTTGAGTAAGAACCTACATAGACTCATATTTTAAAAGCTTAGTTAATCTTCACAGATAATTATCGGTCTTTTAGACGTGTGAGATTTTCAATCGATTAGTTCATTAAAAAAGATTACTATCAATATAATTATCTGGTTTTAAATATCAAGATCAAAGCGCGAATTAAAAGAATTGCAATAAAATCATTAAAATTTTGATAATTGCAAAATAATCAGTTTCAAATTTTAGTGTGGGAGAGCCATGCTTCGGCACAATAGGCCGGCTCGACCGGAGTGATACCACGGCCTCACAGAAAACTGA